ACTATCAACGAATTATATGGCGTGAGTCTCCTGCAGACGATATCCGAGTATATCGCCTGAAGACCATCACATATGGTATGGCATGCAGCCCATACAATGCAGTACGAACCTTACAACAATGTGCTTATGACAATTSTGCTGTGGTTCCTGACATRCAACAAGCGGCTCGCGCTCGAACTGCTATATTAACTTCGTTTTATGTTGACGACTTCTTGACAAGTTGTGAAAGCGTTACCGAAGCGGTGGAGCTGGCTAAAAMCGTGGACGCCATCTTATCTGCGGGAAGTTCCCCTTAAGAAAATGGAACTCGAACGACAGTCAGGTGATGATAAGTTTATCTAATGCGCCGTCTCTTTCTAGCTATATCTTCCATCCTGGTGAGGCTTCCGTTTTGGGTCTAAGATGGGACGCACTGTCGGATCAGTTRTACTTTCGCGTCGATCTTCGTCAAAGAGGAGAGATACCCACGAAGCGCCGTGTACTCAGCGAGGTGGCACGACTCTTTGATCCTACTGGTTCGTTATCGCCTGTTATCGTAACCGGGAAAATATTAATTCAGAGACTGTGGGCTGCTGGTCTATCTTGGGACTCACCATTACCTGACGACCTTTGCCGCGAATGGCTGAAGTATCGGTYACAGCTTGCGGAGCTGAATCAGATTCGAATTGAGCGGTGGATGGGCATGATTCCACGCGTTGAAACATCATTYCACGAGTTTTGCGATGCCAGCTCACACGCGTATGCAGCCGTCGACACAGATGGTTCTGTACGTTTCACTCTTCTGACGGCACGTACCAGGGTTGCACCACTCAAGACTGTTACTATACCACGCTTGGAACTTGCGGCAGCGCTACTTCTTGCCGAAACATTCCAAAACGCGCGRGATTCTTTGAGACTAGATGACGTTCCCTACTATCTATGGTCGGACTCAGCTATCGTATTGTGTTGGTTGAGAAAGGATCCATCAACACTAAAACCATTCCTATCAAATCGTGTTCGTAGAATACAAGAACTGACATCCCCCACACGATGGCATCACATTCGTTCGGCGCATAACCCAGCTGATTGCGCCARTAGAGGTATCACACCTGGCGAGCTATTAGTTCATCCACTTTGGTGGCATGGACCTAAGGAGACAGACATGATTTATTTGGGAAACCGTGATGTCCCTCTCATCAAAGATGAGTCCGATATATTACTCGCCGAAACCCGAAGAACGCACCAATTGATTGCACTCGTGTCACATYCGTTATATACTCGTCGTCCAAACGGGCACGCTATTCTATTAACTGATCGGTTCAGTAATATCACTCGATTGTTGGGAACGGTGGCCATTATCCTACGTTGGTTGAGAAACCGTCGACACCTCCGGCAACCGGTTATCAGTGCTCCAGAACTGGACGACGCACTGTACGCTATAATCCGTTTAGAGCAAGAGGAACATTTTGCAGATGAAATCCGTCAATTAAAGTCTAGTTCAGGTTTGGCATCTTCCAGTCGAATAATGCCTTTAAATCCATTTATAGGTAAGAACCGAATCCTACGTGTTGGAGGACGCATTCACACGGCCGAACTAGGACATGRTCAACGATTCCCTATTATTTTGCCAAAATCGACGACGTTGGTCAAGCTYTTACTACATCAGGCACATGAATCTACACTGCATGGAGGAACACAACTCATGCTACACACTCTTCGTCGCCGCTTCTGGATTCTGAGTTCCAGGCAAGCAGTCAAAGGTTTCATCCATAACTGTGTAGTGTRTCGGCGTCACAGAGGGGAAGTCCTGAAGCAACAAATGGCTTCCTTACCCGGGCAGAGGGTTAGAGCCGCGAGACCATTCATTTCCTCGGGTGTAGATCACTGTGGACCTTTTACATTGCGAATCGGAACGAAACGCTCTCGAACGCTTATCAAAACGTATCTCGCAATTTTCGTTTGTATGGCCACCAAGGCTGTACACATTGAGGTGGTTGATGATCTATCGGCACAAGCATTTTTAGATGCCTTCACTCGTTTCGTCAGCCGGCGCGGTCCCTGTCGGGATTTATATAGTGATAACGGTACAGCGTTTGTTGGTGCCAACCGACTCTTGAAGGAAGACCTCGCAGCGTGGCAGAGTGAGAATAATCCGCAATCGCTCGCCAATTCAGGCACGAAATGGCATTTCATTACACCCAGTGCGCCACATCAAGGAGGCCTCTGTGAGGCGGCAGTGAAGTCCGCTAAGCACCATTTGATACGCTGCGTAGGTGCGCAGGTCATGTGGTACAGTCAACTGCAGACGTTGGCTGTAARAATAGAAGCCTGCCTCAACTCCCGTCCTATTACACCACTTTATGACGACCCTGAGGAGAAACTTGCGTTAACGCCTGGGGATTTCCTAATTGGGTCTCTGCTACTGGCGGTTCCCGAACCAGATATCAAACATATCCCTAGCAACCGACTGAAGCAATGGCAATGGATACGTCAAATASAGCAGATATTTTGGCATCGATGGAGTGAGGAGTATCTCACCATTCTGCAGAGACGAAACAGATGGCTTCGGCGCACAACGAATCTAAGGGTGGATGATATCGTCCTAGTCAAACAAGAGAACCTGCTTCCAACCCACTGGTGCCTGGGTCGAGTGACAACAGTACATCCCGGAGCTGATGGTGTGGTCCGCAATGTCACTTTGAAAACCGCTAAAGGATACATGAAACGAGCCGTCCAGAAACTATGTCTGTTGCTTGAGAAGGAGGATTTGGAGTCGACCGACTCGACCGGGCAGGATGTTTAGGATTATTTATATTAATTAAGTTTATTTTCTAAATAATGTTAAGTCTGATCTGGCAATACTGTTTTATCTAAGCTTTCTACTTCTCATATCTCTTTATAATTCTTTTCTGTTTGTTATTATCTTTATTTGTTAATATTTCGAAGTTAGGGTATTTTAAAATCCTTTGTACTCCTATAAATACCGGAGGACAAGTAAGTACAACCTTCTTCTACTCTGATTGTAACTCAGTGCTGATGGTACTCATCTCAATAAAGTATTGAGAACTCTACCCGCTGGTAAAATTAATTATTTAACAACATACTTGAAGTGCTACAAAATAAAATACGTTTTGAAGGAGACATTATTCTCTAATGAAATATGAATGCAATAAATAAGATCAACAAACGATAATTGAGCAAACACATAATAGAGCGCATAGAAATTATAGGGAAAATTAGGCAGCAATATTATTGGCCTTTAATAATATAACAATTTCAACAGCATGCAAAAAAAATTAGCATATGTTATAATAATAAATATGAAAACATCCGAAACGAATTCCAATAGGAGAAGCACCAATACCATAAAAAGAGGGAGAACAACTCCATATAGATGTTTTTTTTTCGCCAAAAGGTTAAATTTATTATATGTATAGATTCAGTAACCAAATTTCTAATCGTAAATCATATAGGAGGCAAATCAAATTTAGAAGACAAAGTTTAGGAACTGTTACAAACATTTCCAGATGTTAAAAGTGTAGTTGTTGATAATGAACCAAGATTAAGTACGATACAGTTCAAGTCTTTAATGGAAAGGATAAATGTAAAAATTTATTATTGTACAAAGAGTTCACTCAACACTGATTGAAATTTCTAGATGTTTAAAACAAAAAYAAAGTAATTTTGAATCAATTATAAGAGGAGTTCAACAGAATAATAAAACAGTTCATTCTGTAACAGCTAAACAACCTCGCATCATATTATTTAATAAAGAGCCTCACGAAAATATGAAAAATGTATTGCAAAATGCACAAGAGAAAATGCTAAAAACGGAGATATTGTATATGAAAAAATATATGGGGAAAGAAATAAATTAAGCCCCAAATATAAAAAACAAGTAGTATTAGAAGATGTAGGGAATACAGTTAAAATACAAAACAGAAACAGAATAATTCATAAAATATAAAAGAAAAGAAATTTTTTGTCTGAATGTTGTCAAATATAAAAAGACTTCCATCAAAAAATAATTAGAAGTCCACGATAATATAATATAAAATGTGTGGTATATATATTTAAGAGTCAAATTTAAATAAATTGTAAATATAAATTAAGATTTCAAAATGGCACTGTTCAAATTGATAAATTAGTCTATAGCCTCACATACTACTATATATCTTTTCGAATTGGGACGCTTCATATTACATGAACATATACATATATTTTTTGTCATAAATATGTAACATGATACTTACGACCCATGCGGTCCGTTTTAAGTGGATTGGATATGTAGTTTTTAGAACGAAATATGAAACATTGTACTTTGCCAATACAGTCCGCCTTAAAGGTCAGAAGATGTAATACATAGATTGTGAGATGAATCCTTCCACTTGTAAATGGATTGTAGATATACTTCCTAGAATGTAAGATTAATATTTGTATCTAGGCTTAAGCAAAATATTGTATTTAAGAAGAAGAAATAAAGAAAACGAGGCAGTTGCCCATGAAACCTTAACCGGAAAAGAAATTTGTTCGTATATTTGTATATTTAGAGTGTAGCGTATAACAATTATAAATACATATCGTGACCTAAAATGCAAACTAACGTACCATCAAAAAATTCGAAATTGAATATCTTATTGATTACGATTCACTACTTCAAATTACATATTTAATATTACATATGTATGTCCAACATTTTCAGGTTCTGCGCTCATATATAAACCAGTTTTAACCAAAATTAATTTTTTCACTCTTAATCCATTTTATTTCGTGTTTCATACACGCCACTGTAAATTTTCGAAATTCGAAGTTATCTTACATTTTAGGTAACGATATGTATGTACCCTTTTATACTTTTTGGTACTCGCAATATTTGAATCATCATAATGAAAATGATCTAATGTGTTTTACTCTTAACAGTGCATCTTTGTCCCTAAAATATGTACATAGCTAAATTAGAACAAAAACTTGGCTTAGCCCTTATATAACTAATATCAGGATTTCAAACATCAGACCGACTTTCTTCTATATGATTGGTTTTTTAGTATGTTGCGTGTTAATAGTATGTGGTATTGGAAAAAATAGATAAAATGTGCTCGATACTACCTCAACTTCCATATACTACATAAATGTATATATATATATAATGGTTTTAATTTTTTAACAAACCTTATGTGTCTGTCAGTATAGCAGTTATATATACAGGGGTTTCACAATGTCTCATGAAACTATAAGTTATAACGATCCGAAAACATAGAATTTAGAGTTGTAAATGTGTAAACTCATGTAATCCAACAATTTTTTTAAACCAGTGTAAAAATTTATAATTTTATGATTTTACGATGCTTTATGACGGGTTGTGAGTACTCCAATAGTATATGTATTTATAAAATTCGATTCTCTTGTTGACGTATTAAATACACCATAATGTATTTCCATTGATTTGATTCTTGCATTACTTGTTTTTATATATATTCCGCTGCGCGCAATAAAATAGTAGTGGGCAATAAAGTTCGTGAACAATTTTTTAAGTTAATTGCTTTTATTACCCATAATATGTAAGTTTAACACTAATTTTTCATTTTCACAATATAACTTTTATTAAGCACTACTATTTCATTACTCGCAGCTGTACATACACATATTCACACGATTCCAATTACTTTTGCGATCAGGTACTGAAAACGAATTTCTGTATAAATGGSGAAAATGCTGATAGGGGAGCCTTTCCAGAGAAGGAATATGAAAAAACAATGTCGCTAACAACATTAAATTTTTTTAAATATTCGTGATCAAAATTTTAAAAATTTGTATTAACGCATGGCAATGTTTAAGTAATTTTTTTCACATTTTTCAATCTGTATATTGAAATTTACTCTTTAAATATTGAAATAACTTCAAATTTGACTTTTATTTTGTTATTTTTTTATCTAAATTTATTAATTTAAGGGTGTTWACAATTATGAGGAAAACAAACTTTACCACATCTTAAAAACCAAATATGAAGTATTTTTCAGCGACAGCTTTTAATTGTTTGTACTTTCGTGTGATTATAAAAATAATTCCTTCCAACATTTTTTAAGCTAAAGGGTAGTTTCCAGCTCTCAAGAAACGTAAAAACTTCATATAAAAAAACGCAGCTCTAAAGAAATCGAAAACTAATTTTGAATACATTTATTCAATAAAATGCGTATTTGGCAAACCTGGTTTTGTGAAGAAACAAGTAATAAACAATTGTTTCTTGAAGGAAGTTCAAAGTAATCGTTAAATTCATATTAAATTAATTAAAATCATTATTATAAAGTATAGTTCATTTTGAAATGTTGTATAAAACTTAAAAATCGTCAACCACATTCTTTAAATCGCTATGAAAATATTTATGTTACTACACACATACATATTACAGACAAAGGTCATTTTCTTTCTTTATTCTCTCTTGCTCGTCTAATGTGAATCATTCAGAATGCGTAACCTACTGTCAAATTACTTGACTACAGCTCAAGAAAGAGAATTTTTTTCTTTAGCATTTACTTGAGAGCAGGAAACGGACCTTAAAACTGAAATACTTTCGCGTATTACTCCTTTCTCTATACTTTTTTTACGTAATATTATTATATATTTATCGGTTCATTATATTTAAATAAGAAAATATCCATATGTATGGAAAGATTGTTTATACTCATTTTAATATGGAATACAATTCATACAAATTTCCTCATAACTGTTAGCACATAAATGATGTCCACAACGACTGTAAAAAGTAATTTTTAAAATATAGATTTTTTAATTAAAAAACCTGCGAAAAATGTAAAGTGTGAATTTGTTTAAATGTTTACAGTTTAATTTAATAGATTTGAAGAGAAAAACTTACATAAAGTCTGATGAATGTAGTGAAATAGCTTGTTCAAATGTTATACTTATTAGAGTTTTGAACTTTAAAGCCGAATATCTCATAAACTATGAAACATATCCTGTATATTTTTTAATCTGAAAGGCTTCAGATCATGGCGACAAAGGTATTGGAATCTTGTAAGAAGGTTAATTAAAAAATTTTAATGTATGCAATTAGGGTATGACGATGCACGTAGGCATTTGTGGATGGTTCCACAGCCAAGAAGAAGGCAGGCGACGCAGTTTTGATTCCCTAAAAGGGAAGATGTCCGTCAGAGTTGGGCAAAGGCTTGCATCATAGTTGCATCGCCTTCCGATTCCTTATTTATTTGTCAAAACTTTGACCCTGAGTTAGTCATCGATTTGCTCGATCCGCGCATTTTATCAAAGTAGTGCGCTGAAACTAAATAAAAAGGTCAAAGAGTTAAAAAAAAAAAATATAAAGACCAGAAAGAACGTGCAATAGTTGCGGATGAGAATTCCAGCCATGAATAAAATTCGCTAAGATTATCGTCACGAAACGCACTTTTTTAGTGACAATGAAAAGACATTGGCGCAAAACATTAAATATATGTCCTTCAAATCTTATAATTTCACGCGTGACGATTTAGGCTTCTCTCTACGGAGTAAAAGTTCTCTTTGATAGCGCTCCATTAGATATATTGCTCCTGGCTTCGATGCCAATGTCATAACAAATTTAGGCAAAATCGCGTCGACCGTAACGTTGCGGGGTAAGCAGCCTGTTTTCTCTCCGCTGCAACACGGCACTCCTCGTCGTACCAGGTGTTCTTTTGCACTTTCCGTAAACCAATGGTTCCGGTTGCAGCTGTACGTAAGGAGTGTGAAATGCCATCCCACATTTCCCTTATACCGAGTTGTTGACGAGTGCTCGCAGAGAGCAGGAGTGCAAAC